TGCGACCGCACGCGCGCTCGCGACGGCTGCGGGGGGCGCCGCCGAGTGTATACGAGTGTCCGATGACTGCAAGAAAGCAGCTTCAAGATCAAGGGCGACTGCAAGCGCACATGCCGCGCGCACAGACAGCAGTACTACGTGCACTCGTGTGCGCCGCCACTTTTGGGCTTCCAAGCAAGCCAGCCTGCAACAACCACATGGCGATGCACCGACGGCGCCGACGCACGCCGCGTCCGGCTGCCGCGCTCTGGCGACTACTCGACGAAGTAGCAGCTCGCTGAAACGCGGCACCTCGGCACATGCACAAGTCGAACGACGACCAAGCAGCCAGTCTGCCGGCATGCGGCAAAGTTTCGCGGCTGCCCTCGGACCGCGCTGCGTCGCACAAAGTCCTGGCGGCTGAAATCCGCCGCCGACGCGGCCTCATGGTCCCGATGCACTGGCATCACCCGGAGCTGTTCCTACGCGGTCCCGACCCAGCTGCGCCACCGGCCTGCGGAAGCGTCGGCAGAAGATCTTCGGCTGTCGTCGAACACGCGGCGGCGCGCACGGGCTCCGCCGACATGAGCCTCGGTTGGGCAGCGACGCGCGCATGCAGCTGCAGACGGCCGCGGCGAGAAATGTTGCCCGCGCGACGCCCCTCCCTGCTCGCAGAGAGCCGCACGGCCAGAACGGGGAATGTTCCAGGTGGCGTCCCCGGTCGACGACACGTCCGACCGACTTCGGACGAGAACTCTCGAGGAGCGAGGAGAATCATCGCCGTCCGCGCCGCCGCCCGGGGACAACACGCTCGGTAAGGGCGCCGGCGGCGCGGGGGAGGCAGCTGGAAGCTAGGCGCCGACGCGCCATATCAATGCATCAATCACCACGCACCATCAGGCACAACATCAGCCGCAGCAGCCGCAGCAAGCAGCAGCATCGTTACATGTAAAGGCGAGCGGCAAGCCTCGCGGCGCGCACAGCAGCAACAGTCGGCGCCGCCGCCGCCCGCGCACCAGGGGGTGGACCGGCGGGGGCCCTCTCTCGCCCGGGCGGCCGAGAAGCTAATCAGCTCGCCTGGTCTCGTACGGCCGCGAAACTCGTCGCCCCGCGTCCAATGACAGAGCGGCCGCAGCCCTGAGCCGGCAACGTGCGCCCTTCTGCACTCAACAGCGGGGGAAGCGCGGCGGCATGCGGCGGGCGGTGCGCCCCCGCCTCGCAGCACGAGCGTGCTGCTCTCCGCTGTCCAGGCGCGTCATGGCTTCCCGCACAACAAAAAACGTCATGGTCGTCGGGCGCACCACAGTAGCTGGCGTTGCCTGTCCCCACGCACAGCAGCGGTCCTTCCCCACAGTCAGCGGCGTGCTGTCCCACAAGGCAGCAGCAAGCGTTCTGTCGTCGCCAACGCAGCAGCGTTTCTGTCGTCCCACGGCGCGCGCCATGGGTTGCTCTCGTCGCCATCGGCTTTCTCCGCACAACAGCAATCTGGCGTTCGGTGAAATGCCCCGCGACCACAAACGCGGCCGCCGCAGCCTGCCAGCGCGCAACATGTCTCCGCTGGCGGCGGCGGCTGTGATGTTCCGCGTCGCGGCGGCGGCGTGATGTCCGGCGCTTCAGCGCGGCGGGCCGCGTGATGTCGGCGCTCGGCGGCGGATCGGCGTAATGTCCATGCAATCAACAAGCGCATGGTGGCGCCCCACGGCGGCCGCGTGTCGGGTCGCACCTCGGCGGCGTGCTCCCCGCCGCACAACCTGTTCAGCGCGATCCGCGCACAGTCCTGCGTCGCCCGGTTCGCAGACTGCGAAAGCCGGGCTGCCGTGAATGTCGCCGCACAATCTCGCGCGTCTCGGCCGTTCCAAACAACGCGGGGCGTCGCATCTGCGCCGCCCGCGACAACAAGGGCGGGCCAACGGGGTCGCGGGCGCCCGCAAGGCCCGGTCGGTGCTTTCTCCAAGTTCATCCGTTGTGTTAGACGATTGTTTTAGCCCGGGTGCGGGGTGGGGGTCTGTCCGGCTGCATGCCGGTGTCTCGGGGCGATGCAGATGCGTTGCCGGGGGCGATGCAGCTGTGGCGACGGTGTGTCGTGGCGATGGCATCTTGGCGATGGTGCGTTGTGACGATGGCATCATTGCAGTGCATCATTGCTTTGGTGCATCATGGCGGTGCATAGGGCGGTCGCGCGCGCACGCGCAAGAGAGAGAAATGTCTGACCTGCATCGAGTAAGGTCGTGTGCATTATTAATATAACGTGCGCGCGGGTATATGTGCGTCTTCGCTCGTTAAAAAGCAGTTCGGGGAAAGAGCCAGTTCTATTTATCGTGTTCGTGTACATAATATTTCGCGTTTGTGTGATCGTCCGGCTTTGCCGAATTGGTACGCACCGGCACGTTGTGTTCACGCACATGCTTCAGTACTAATATTATTAGAGAGTGCTTGCAGACGTGCATGTTGTGTGTGCGTGTGTGTGTTGCGTGTGCGTGTGCGTGTGCGTGTGCGTGGCGTGTGCGTAGTGCGTGGTGCGTGTGCGTGTGCGGTGTGCGCTGTGCCAGTGTGCGTGTGCGTGTGCGTGGTGCGTGTGCGTGTGCGTGGCGTGTGCGTCGTGCGTGTTGTGCGTGTGGCGTGAATACGTGTGTGTGTGTGTGTGTTGTGTGTGTGTTGGTGTGTGTGTGTGGTGTGTGTGTGTGTGGTCGTGCGTGGCGTGCGTGCCAATGCATGCGGTAATATCAGTGTGTGATGTGTGTGTGTGTGGCGTGCGTGCAGTGCGTGCGTGCGTGCGTGCGTGCGTGCGTGCGTGCGTGGCGTGCGGTGCAGGTGCGTCGATCAGTGTGTTGTGCGCGATAAAGCTTCATAATAATGGCCTTATACTACATGTATAATTTTTTAAGAGATTGTATTTTAAGCATTTGGTAGAGGAAAAAAAATATGGAGGATTGCAGCTGAGTAAGCA